TCACTACAAACCAGTAAAAGTCTGAAATGGCCTATATCTGTACTCGACTGTACTGATTTTTACTCGACCAGTCTGAATTGGTCTGAAATTTACTTGATAATAATCGACTGTAGTCTGAACCATACTTAACAGTCTGAACTTGTACTGAACCCTTACTCGACCAGTACTTAACCATTTTATATGCGTCTGAACCATGCTCGACCTAGTCTGAACAATACTCGACCTAGTCTGAACCATACTCGACCTAGTCTGAACCATACTCGACCAAGTCTTAACCAACCTAGACCTATGTTTTGTATCTATCTATTGTATTTCATCAATTTAGGAACAATAAACATAATATAACTTCATCACCATATTCATCAACACTTATATACATACTTATCGCACCGCTGGTAAATTATCACGTTGTGATTGGTTTAACGCCGTTACGTGGTGACCCCCTATGGATCCGTAGGGGGTTAGTAAATTTCATAGGGGGTTCATGACGTCACGTTTACTGTTAATAGTGACGTCATCTATCAATGTTAATGTGTTTAATTGTTTACTCTACAAAACACAGCGGAAAAAAGTCTCGCGGGCGATAAATTCGTTATACGGTTAACTACTGACCCCCTACGGACCATAGAGGGTGAATAAAATCCATAGGCGATTCGGCCTTCGGCCTCACCCCCTATGGATTTTACTAACCCTCTATGGATCCGTAGGGGGTCAGTAGCGAACCATATAACTTATAATATATATCACCTTTAAAATAAAAATAAAACAAGCTGATCAGATAATCTCAAAACTGAATTGTGACTAATATTTTCAATGTTATTGAAAATTTTTTGAATGTTTCAGATATATTTTATGGTTACTGGACAATTTTCACCATTAACTTAAGCCTTGTATAGATTTATGGTGTCAGTCGAGTTAAAATAATAATGCAGTGAACATTTTTTTTATTAAAATGTATATAAAATAGCATATAAAGCAACTTAATAAATTTAAAAAATGACACCTTTGTTTTATTAAACCAAGAATTTAATATAATCATGATAATAGAACTTCCATAGTAATCCTGTGATAAACTTTTAAAAAAGGAAATGTGTTCAAAAGTTCCAGTAAAAATTTATTTCAATTAAATTTAAATAATTTTTGTCAAAATTAAAGACATGGCATACAAGAAGCACTTTAATAAGGTTTAATTAGCTCAGTACATGTGTGTTTTACAGGTAAAAAGAAGGCCTTATTTTTCTTAAACTCGTGTATTACTTATCTAGTGAATTCAAAAGGCCTTGCGATTTAAGTTTAATAGGATGTTGCAATTTTGAATGAATGTTGTTTAGAATTTAATACTCTCTGACCAGGTGTGATCTTTTTCATGAGTTTGCTCCAAGCAGGAGTTATTACTTTATACTTCACCACTAATCAGAAGAACAATTTTATTAATTTCTTTAATTTTTATCCCTTTTTGATATATATTGTATATAATATATCCCAAATTATAATAATAGATATATTTCTAAAATAAGGTTAAACAATTTCAGTGATTTTGTTGGCTGTTGTTACCTCATTAAAAAGATAATTATATAACTATTGTACATTTTTTGTATGTAACCATGAAACCTATGTAGTTTTTATTTAGGAATTTAGGAAACTTAATTTAAAAAAAAAAACACATGCCAAACAAGAAGCACCTTAATAAGGTTTAATTACCCTCAGTATAGGTGTGGTTTTTAGGTAAAAGAAAATCTTTTTTTAACAAAACTCTAAAGCTTTAAAATTGATATAATTAAATTATTATATAAGATAATTTGATTTAACTATCTCTATTCGATAAATCTGAGAATCATGTAAGAATGTAAAAATCTGTTTTTATAATATATCTTTATTTTATTGTTGCTGTTGTCATGTCAGTTAAAAAGATATTTATTTTAACAGTTGAAATTTAGAAAAAGTAGAGGTTATTTGGTCAAGTATGGTTCAGACTGGTCGAGTATTGTTCAGACCTTTGGTCGAGTATGGTTAAGACTGAAAAAAATAGGTCGAGTACAGGTCGAGAATGGGTTAAGACTGTTTCAGACTGGTCGAGTAATAGTTCAGACTATTTTCAATGGCAAAGATAAGGGTCAAGTACAAATCAGTACAGTTGAGTACGGTTAAGACCGGAGTCGAGTAATGTCGAGTAAAATTCAGACCAATTCAGACTGGTCGAGTAAAAATCAGTACAGTCGAGTACAGATATAGGCCATTTCAGACTTTTACTGGTTTGTAGTGTATGTATCTATAAATTTACATGTACTAAGGGAAGCAATCCCTTCACACATTGCACAAAGTATGAACAATGATTTCCTAAGTAACAATGAGATATAAGACTTAAAAAAGTTACAAAAATTGTGTAAGACTGAATAACAAAGATATTTAACAGACTTGCTCTTTTTTTTAATACCTGCCTCATATTAAGGGGAAATAAATCAGGGCGAACGTGATTGGGGGCAAATAAGATTTGGTGCGAACAAACGTGGATAATTTCCTTGCACTTTCCTAAACTGGTCCGCCATTCCATCTAAGGTAGCAATACACAGTTAGGAGTTTGGTTTCGCATTTTGGCCCCTGTGGATTTTTTAAATATGAAAGTTATTGTGCAATAAAATTCGTTTTTAAACAGCTGAGTACTAATTTACTATTTAGCCTTCAAAGGTGGTTTATAAGAACATCAAGAGTATTTTTTTCATGTTTTATGGGCTATTTTCTGTTTGACTGTCCGTATTTTCATAGCTTGACCGGCCGTAGGTCCAGAAATTAATGTAATGTTTACATACACTTTTTTCTACACAAAGTTTTTGACGCAATTTTACAAAAAAATGAGATGAAAGACATATGATTTTTATTTGATTTCCTGATAGATATATGTAAACAGTTTCAGAAAAGGTATATACGTCACTCCAAGGGATTGAAATTCTACTTCTGGCCAAATTTTTTGGGAAATATGTGACATCTTTTCCCCCCTTTTTGCAATATTTTATAGCAAATAAATGCAGATAGTTGCCATGGATACACCAAAAAGAAATTATATTTTACCATTTTAACTACTAGATATCAAATCTATGGAAGATACTGATAACATACATATGCACATATATGACACAAACAATAAGCTTAATTTGCAAGAAAGCAAGGAAAAGGGGATGGTAAAATTTATGAGAGTAAATTTTAATATTTTTTCCTAACTGTTTATCATGTTTATTGCTACCTAAAGCTTCGCACCGAAGGAAACGGGATGGAGCCATTGTCACCTTGGCATTAATTGTCTTACAAATCCAACGATTCGCTACGAAATTGACCAATGATATTGACAGGAACTTTTGACAACTTGACCTCAAATGTTAATACTGCCATGCCGCAAAAGAAATAAGTATCTGTTAATTAACTCCATACGGCAAGCTATTCATATCGTATAAATTTTGTGTAGATTTTAAAATTTAAGACATGATACCTGGACGTATTACTAGTATCAGAGACATATGATAAAATTGTTATATATCTCTGCTAGTATAATATATTTTTTTTTATCATATATTTAGTAGTAAATACAGTAGTTTTAAATATTTGATAAATAGCCTGCTGTTTATTCCGCATCGTTCAACTTTGATGCGGACCCTTTATCACACCCCTTTATCGCATGTCTACCCTTTATCACACCCCTACTCGGATTTCTCATTTATGACAGTAGTGATTCCGACTAAATTTACACGAAGTCCATGTTTTGATTTATGCAAGCTTCTCATCCTTTCTGTATCTCTTTCAAATAAAATCCTGAAGATTAAATAGTGAAATTTTTTTCAATGGTCCCAAATGAAACGGTTTTTAGGGCGTGACGTCATTTATCGAATTACGTCATTGTTTGGCATGTGATGTCATGGACGTCACAGACGTCGAGCTTTCATATTTTCTGGCACACGAAATGCAACCACAAAAAAACAACCGGCAGCAAGAGGGTTAAACTTTAAATTTTGATATTTCAAAAGTTCACATTTTACTCACCAGTCTCAAAGTAGTCTCTTGTTTATAACAGTATATGTGTTATTAAATTGTTGGTTTATTGTTACTATTTTTTTATTAACAGGTTTTATTCAGAATGTGTTTTATATAGTACAAAATTTAAAGGAGGATAAAAAGAACTCAATGAAATACCATACAAAACAAAAATAAACAACAAAACAATACAATAAACAAAATATTTCTATGGACAACAGGACGCAAATTGTAAGGTGACCCAGGTGCTTCGGATGAATGATTTTAAAAGCAGTTCATATATATGATTAAGCTTTTAAAACAAAGCAAAAATAAATCTGAAGGTAACCTAAAGGCCCTAGGGCTGATATTGGTATCTCGTGATGATACGGCATGTGATACGCATTTTGCCATGTATTATTCTCTATATATATATTTGTCTATGCTGGGACAAATTATATATATTTAGTATACTATTGTCTGACCTATGAACAAGATTCAAAATATGACAATATATTTTATTTTAGGTAGATGTAAACAATAAATCAAAACTTATCTGACTGAAAATTCTGAGCGTTAGAATGATAAGTACAAAATTTTATTTTTTTAATGTTGATCAATCAAATATTCACTGATTTTTTAAAGATCTTTTGAACATTCAATTTCATTTATATAATAGAAACAGATTACGGTTGGATTTCCACAAAGAGAGATCCACAATTAACCATGGTAATGTGATAGGATTTGCTTCAATTATTGAAAACCGATGCACTGTGGCAGCACAGAAAAATGTCCCACGAGCATGTTATCACATTCTTGACAAACAGAGCTGGTATCTTTCATTTCCTTGAGAACTCAATAGGGATAGGAATGTGCTAATTTCCCATTAAAATTCCTGTTCATATAAATTATACATAGTAAACACATCACATGATGCACTAGTCTCGCTGAATTTATTAAATAACGTGGTCAGCATTCTGACCGCGAGATTTAGGCCGTACCTGTTGTTAGTGTAGCGATAAGTGAACACAACAGGGGTCCAGTTTAGCACTTGCCCTAAGGCTAAGTCTGTCCAGAGACGTACACAAAATGTATACTGTAGTATATATGTTTCACTGATTAAAACATGCTCCGGAGAAATTTTCATCAACTATTATATAAACAAATATGTATACACTCTAAATTCAATCCCCTACTGATAATTCTATGGTTCTATGGAACACTTGTCATTTCTTTTTAATTTCTGTTGAAATTTCATGCAACCGGAAGTTCAACGTGAATCTCAGATTTTAACCTCCAAATTAGAGAGCTCTTTATATCACATGAAAATGAAAGTAGAATCCCACTATGACAATTAGCTGTAAAGTAGCAACAGATTGTTATCCTGTTTCACGATCAAAGGTTACACTTTTAAGAATGCATGTTACATTAATTTATTCAGTCTTCACCAATGAAAACATCAACAAATCACAATAAAAGTTCACACTACCTTATATGAGACAGGTAGTGTTAGTGTCCTGTGTAACAGTGTAAGAGGATGAAGTATGTTACCCAGCAATGTATTATTTCATTTTGTGCAATGACATTACACATTCTGCACACCTTAGCATATCGATGTACATGTAGGGTAGCATTACACCTTATCGCTATTTATTCCTTTCTGGGTAAGTTCTAATATTACACAACTTTTTCATCGAGTTGAAGCTAACTGTGGCCCTGTTGAAACAATGCATCATGCATTATACTTTTAAAAGAGACCTGTTTAAACCATCGTAAACACATCAAACAAAATATTTTTTTACTTTAATTTGAGTTTCGAAAAAGTGGATCAAAATCTATCAAAGTTTCAGAGTGTTCGCTTTCTAAATTTTTTCCTCCCTCAGCTCGTTACTGATAACCTTTGTTTTGGTACCGGATGACCCAAACAGGAAGTTGTCTTAGTGACTGTTTTTTTACGGATTGGACCAAATAGCAATAAGGTGTATTATCTGCCAATGTTTGTTGATTTGACGTTATATCTACAATAATCAGAAATATACTACATAAATTAAGAATTATATATAAGCATATGTCATCATCTTCATGATTGAGGCCTGAACAATAAAATAACCAGATTTACCAAATTTCATGAATAATATATCTAAGAGAAAGCTGAAATGCAAAATCATCCCGGATGCTGGTCATGCTTTTTAGGCATTTTATTTATGTTGTCATTCAGTTACATATGTAAACAAACACATGGTCTTGGCTGTTTTTTTCAGGTAACATTTTTATCTTATTAAAGAATTATCTAATTAAAATTCTATGTATTTCTTATCATAAAAACAGATATGTCAGCATCATACATGTGTACCTCCCGACGGGAGTATAATATAATCCCGTTTTCAGGGGTCCCCTCCAATTTTCAGACACCATTTTTTACTACCCTGTTTACAAATATTTCTTATTGAAGACGTAAAAACCCAAGAGTATTGAACGTATGAGTGTAACTGACATTACCTGATTACATAACATGTATAGATTTTGACCCTGTCATGCGGCTAATTAACAAATGGTAATAGTTTGATCGAACAATCAAAACAGGTGATGGGATATTATTTACTCGATATGGCTTCTGTTTATGGCACACTCCAAAGATGATTAAAGGTAAATACCGGCATTGAAAGAAAAATGGAATGTTGTTGTCAAAACATCGATCGGAAGGTTTTGATGCAAAAGAAAACATTTATTGTATAAGAAATTACTGGTAAAAGAAATGGTTTCAGCTCAATGTGAGCTGTTTGCTACCTGACCTGACTGGAAAATCGTATAAGCAAAATGTTTGGTTTGAACATCATTATGAATTCAAAATGCCAAAACGACAGTTATCTCCGTCTTCAAAGACACCATTAGCAAAACAACAGAAATATATGACAAAGTTCAACAATTCCTGGAAAGCTGACTTTAAATGATGCAAACCCAGTTCAAATGGCAAAGACCAGGCATACTGTACTTCTTACAAAGTTGACTTCAAGATCTGTTATGGGGACCGTAAAGACATTACCAGACACAGTGAGACCTCTTCTCACAAGCGCAAGTATGGATCCGTTTCAACAACTCCATCTGTCAAATCCATGTTCAACAACGTTGACAAAGTAACATATGCAGAGACTGTTTTTGACAACTTCATCGCAGACCACAACCTTCCTTTTCTGATAGAAGACCACTTAACTCTATGTATGAAAGTTATGTATCCAGACTCACCTATTGCCCAGAAGTTTTTATGCAAACTTACCAACTACCAAGACCACTCACATAGTAATTCAGGCCCTAGCACCACATTGGGACAACAAAGTCACCAACATGTGTAAAGTGGAGAAGTTTGCTGTAATGATTGGGAAGTCCAACGACAAGGGTGATAACAAAAAACTTAACAACTTAGTCAGAGTCTACAACCAGACCCTTCAGAAGATTGCAACACACTTTGTTGGCATATCTACCTGCAACATTGGTACCAGTGACAGTATCTTCAGATGTCTAGACCAGGTATTTAGGTAAATATCAAATTTACATTTTTATATCAAATTTTAAAAAGTCATATAAGATAGATGCACATGTACAGACAATGAATGAGACACAATAAAGCTACAAGAACAGATATGTATCAATAATTTTGATTAACAAAATATTGTGTTTATAAAATATATTTGTGTGTTACATATGTGTTTTTCATACAATAAATATATTTTTTCTATTTCAGTGACAGGGGCATTCCATTGTCCAACTGTGTAGGCTACTCATCAGATAATTGCAATGTCATGATTGGTAAAAACAACAAGTGTCCTCACCAGAGCCCAAGAGAAGAGTTGGTTGTGTGTGTCACATGGCAAACATCTGTGCACAGAAAGCAGTAAAGAACCTTCCATTGCCAGTAGATGAGCTGCTTATAGATGTCTTCTTCCATTTTTATCACAGGTATTATTTAATGGTATTTGTAAAATTAAATTAATTCAAAGAGGGAAAATGCCTATGAAACAACATCCAATAAAACTATGATTGTATTTTTTTAAACAAACAAAAAAAGTAAATGTTTCAATTTTTACTGTGTTGAATAAGGTGAAGATATTTTCATATTATTGTGTGTACTAAAACTGTTCATTCTTAATAATTTGTCATTGATCTTTTGTTATTAACATATGTTATATTGACAAAAGATTCATGACTTTCAATTTTACATTTGTTTTATCTTTCTTAATTCAAAATGCAAGGAGGAGTACACCAGTTTCCTTGACTTCACTGACACAAAACCCATGAAGCTGCTGAAGCAATGTGGTACCAGATGGTTGTCCTTAGAGAGGTGTGTCAAAAGATTACTTCAGCAGCATCCAGCCCTTAAGTCCTACTTTCAGAGTCACCCAGAGAGTGAGAAGCCATGTCATATAATGAGGTGTGCAGAGTTCCATGTCAACAATGAGATGTGGTTGTACTTTGCTTTCCTAGACTTCATCCTTCCTGTTTGACTTGAATGCTATGTTCCTGGTATTTTTATTTATAATTATAGATGTATTATTAGATTGGATATGTGTACATGAGACAACATAAAAAGTAAAGACGTAAAATGACAAGAGACAATAACCAAATGAAAGCAGACACCAGAAATATTAGAGATTGATTATATATTATGATATGATGTACATTTAAAAACATATTTTTTAAATACAATATTTATTTTAATTTTAATATCTACATCTTTAAATAATAATAATTATTCATTACAGGCTAGTGAGTCTATGGTTGGTTTTCTGCAAACAGAAATGGTTCATCTCCTCCGTAAGCTCATGTCTAGATTTGTTAGCACCAAAGTTATAACCATGCAGCAAGACAACACCAAAGTGTCCAGAGAACCAGCATGACAACGAGAGGATAGCCATTGGTTGGACAGCTAGTGAGTCCCTCAGTGACCATGAGGATCTTTCACCAGTGGTTGTCAACAGGTTCTATAGGTATTTTTAACTTTTTTTTATTGTGGGGAATAAATGTACATGAATCAATTATCATTCAATGTACAATGAGACAAAAGTAGCTGTACACAAATTTTTTTCAACTAATTTTCTAAGCTTGATTAATATTAACATTTATTAGCAATATTAATTTGAGGTAATTTTCTTTTTTGTTTATTATAGCTCTGTCAGACAGTTCAACTGCACAGCAGTGTCTACCATGATTGCAAAGTTTCCTTTCAAGGATACAGTGTTGCAGACTATTGCCTATATCAACCCAGAGATCAAACAGAATGTGTCACCAGAAGATTTTAAGTTTTGTTTATTACTTTATTGTGTAATTTCTGTAACTTCAAATCATGCGAATGAAACAAAATGAATATGGGGTAACACCAATGAGACAAGTTAAAAAACATTAAAAAAACCACACAGTAGTATATTAATTGTTGATGATTGTTTTTAATTTAATGTTGTGAAAATATCTATATATTTTATATATAATAATTGTTTTTTTTATTTTATAGTTGCCAGTCTGTCAGACAGATTTCTCTTTTAGAGTCCTGACCAGAAATCACAACTTGAAGACCAGGCCAGTGACTACATCCTTTCTCCAAAGTCAGACCTGTCACCTTATTACAAAGAAAACACAACACTGAACCAGTTCTGGCAGTCTATGGCACAACTTAAGGTTCCAAGTGGCCAGCCCAGTTTGATCTGCTCTTTCAGTTTTAGAAAAATAATGCTACCCATTCCACATTCCAATGCAGACACAGAGAGGACTTTCAGCATGCTGACGAAGATCCAGACAGACATCAGTGATTCCCTGGACTCCAAGACAATACACAGCCTGCCAAGCATCAAAGATAAACAACTATCAGTACACAAACTGTTACCTGTACAAGCCAGAGCCAAGTGTAGTTAAAGCAGACAAATCAGCATGTACCTCCTACCAGAGACCAGTGCTTAAATTTTGAGAAAGTTCTTTAATTATTAACTAAATAGACAGTGCTTTAACTTATATATTTTGAAAGAGTTTAAACAATGACAATGCTTAGTTTTCTAACATAATACTAGTGCTTATAACCATGCATACCCATTGTTATTGTTTGTTGATTTTTAATCTATTTATTATGTAATAAATGCATAGCTTATTTTTCTCTTATATCTCTAAGCCAATGACAATGAAAACAAATAAAAAAGATGGAAGCAACAATGTAAAACTAAACAAAAACAGATTCTTCTCAATTATTCATTCAAATAGACAGACTTAACCACATTGATATGCCATTCAAATGGAAGATTGAAGAAAAAAACACATAAAAAAGACAGATTTTACATCAGATGGTTAAATTTACAATAAAAAAAATGTCAATAAAAACCCTCCTGATCTGAGGTCTGAACTCCTGACCAAAATTTCCGAATCTCCTAATTTGAATTTCACAGTCTATCATATGTATACAGCATGTTTTTAATCTTTGTAAGCTAACAACATCAACAAGTACATTTTGACTTATTTAAGAGAAATTGATGTGACTTATTCCAGATTTAAATAAAAGCTTGTTCTCATTTCATTTATAAAGGGTTATCTATTTACTGTTTCTTGCACATGCTTCCAATTTTATCCTTTGACAGATGCCTGCTCTGTTTTTAAATCATGAAAAATATATATAATGCATATTTGTCTTCTATTTTTTATGCATTTCATATAGTTAATATCTTTTACTTTTTAGTTATATGAGGATGTAGTAGAAAAAAAATATGGGGAGATACACAAGATATGGATGACTCCAGGACACATTTTCATCACCGTAAAGGAGGGGAGACAACTATTTACTTTTGATAATAAATCAGCAAGTAGAACAATTGTATGTAAATCAAACTTGTTCAAAGAGCATGTATTTGGAATATGCAGAAGTTGCTTATATGATACATTTAAATGTCTTTTTCAAAGTAAGATAACATCAGAAAAAAGATGAAAATAACTACATGTTTTTTGTGTTAATAGTTAAAAGGGGATCTTCATTTAATTACCATGCTATTAAAATATTTCATGGAAACCATAGTACAAATGTATATCAAAATTTTGACAAACAGATGTTTTTTTATGCCCCACCTAGGGGCATTATGTTTTTCGGTCTGTTCATCTGTATGTTCGTATGTCCGTTCGTCCATCCGTCTGTCCCGCTTCAGGTTAAAGTTTTTAGTTAAAGTTTTTGGTCAAGGTAGTTTTTGATGAACTTGAAGTCCAATCAACTTGAAACTTAGTAAACTTGTTCCCTATGATATGATCTTTCTAATTTTAATGCCAAATTAGAGTTTTGACCCCAATTTCACAGTCCACTGAACATAGAAAATGATAGTGCCCGCTTCAGGTTAAAGTTTTTGGTCAAGGTAGTTTTTGATGAAGTTGAAGTCCAATCAACTTGAAACTTAGTACACATGTTCCCTATGATATGATCCTTCTAATTTTGATGCCAAATTAGAGTTTTGACCCCAATTTCACGGTCCACTGAACATAGAAAATGATAGTGCGAGTGGGGCATCCGTGTACTATTGACACGTTCTTGTTTTGTTTTCTTTTGTATCATTGTTTTCTCATTTCATTTTTTTTTACTGCAAGTCTTCTTTTATTCATAGAATTACTTTACTTTTCTTTTCTTATTGTTAATTTCCTTTAATTTGATGGTGATGTTTCAATTGCTACTTCTTATGGGATACACTAATAAATATACTTGCTATTGTATTTTAAAACAAAACAAATAAACCAAATAGGTTGAATCTGGAAAGTAGGTCTACAGGGATGAAAGGTGGGAAATTTAAACTACTTTAGAAAAAGAGGATATGCTTGATAGCTTTATGAAATGGGCAAAAATTTTACATTTCATCAGGTCACCTACAGATCCCATAATGGTTGTTGCAAGGGTTATCTGGCATTCAGAGAGTGTCACATTCTTTCTACAGGAGGCATCAGATTTAATATTCTCAATCCAACAAGACATGGCTGCATATATAATATGGTACATCCTGTGCAACTAAACTTATGCCCTCACAGTGACAGTTTTATTGTTAGAAAAGAGATTTTCAGGTTACCACATCGCTATACATAAGAAACCCTAGGAGTCAAATCTAATTGATAGTACAGTTGCTATTATTAGACTAAAAAGGAATGATTTTCTTATAAGCATATTAACCTTTTTTAGCTAGAATTTAGTTACTGTTAGCATTAAAAAAAAATAATATTTGATATTGTTTTACTTTCTGTTGTTTCTGTAATGCTGAAATTATTAATTTTCTAAATTGATTTTTGTTTTGTTCTTTTTTTCTGTAGTCTGTACCCTTTATTGTTGCGTTGTTGAGATAAAAATGGAACTGTTGAGTACTCATAAGACCTGATACGTTTTAATACCTCATCTTTTATTGTCTTTGTTTATTAATTAGTGTCTTGTCAATTAGGAAATTTTGCATTGATTTCAGATCTTTGTATACTTTAGCTTAATTTATTCACAACTTATCTATACTTGGTGATTATGAGTTCAACATAAGATATTTTTGTTTCTGTATATTGTTGGATTGTTTGAATTTTTGTCTAGTTTATGTTTACCCGACAAATTTCTCTTAATTTAAAGAAACACTCTAGTTATTAAATCAGAAAAAAATATACCAGTCATTAGTCCCCTACCAACGAAGTCGAAGGGGACTCTAGGTTTGCACTCCATCTGTCTGTCTGTCTGTCTGTCTGTCTGTCTGTCTGTCTGTCTGTCTGTCTGTCTGTCTGTCTGTCTGTCTGTCTGTCTGTCTGTCTGTCTGTCTGTCTGTCTGTCTGTCTGTCTGTCTGTCTGTCTGTCTGTCTGTCTGTCTGTCTGTCTGTCCTGTCTGTCTGTCTGTCTGGTCTGTCTGTCTGTCTGTCTGTCTGTCTGTCTGTCTGTCTGTCTGGTCTGTCTGTCTGTCTGTCTGTCTGGTCTGTCTGGTCTGTCTGTCTGTCTGTCTGTCTGTCTGTCTGTCTGTCTGTCTGTCTGTCTGTCTGTCTGTCTGGTCTGTCTGTCTGGTCTGTCTGTCTGTCTGTCTGTCTGTCTGTCTGGTCTGTCTGTCTGGTCTGTCTGTCTGTCTGTCTGTCTGTCTGGTCTGTCTGTCTGTCTGTCTGTCTGTCTGTCTGTCTGTCTGTCTGTCTGTGTCTGTCTGTCTGTCAGTCAGTCAGTCCGGCAAATCAGTTTTCCACACTTTTTTTCTTCATGCTTGAAGATATTGATTTGATATTTGGTATATAGTTTACACCATGACAAGTTATAGATCAAGTTAGCATTTTTTTCCAGTACAATTAATTTTTAACCGGTAGGGGACTATGTATTGCCATGCAATACTCCCAGAATGCTTGTTATTCTTACTAATTAAATGAAAAATATTGTATTTAAGATATGCTTGTTTTTTTTAGAACAACAGCTTTGAAAAGTGTTTGGACAGTAAAGAATTAGAGTCACCAATTTTAGATATTTTAGTTTCTGCCACAAATTACAGCCTGATTTTTATTGTAAGTTTTGATTTAGCTACCATTTGTATTACTTTTTTGGGGTCCTCTGTTGCTGCGTGGTCTTAGTACATTTTGTAGTTCATCTACTGTATCACTTGCTGTGTTGGAATCCATTCTTAATAGACTAGGATTGTCAGTTTTCCTGCCAAATATCAGTGGTTCTCTGCATTTACTCCAGCTTTATCCACAAATAAAAATTGACTGCCACGACATAGCTATTGGTGCAGAAGATGGCATTAAAACACCAACAATCAATCAATTAATCAATCAATCAATCATATTAATTTTTTATTGATTTTTTTAGTCTCCTACCGACGAAGTTTTAGGTTTGCACTCTGTCTGTCTGTCTGTCTGTCCATCACTCAAATAATCAATTTTTCACATTTTTTTTCGTCATGCTTGAAGATATTGACTGATATTTCTTATATGCCAGGCAATACTCACAGAATGCTTGTTATTTTTTAATTCTTCACTGTAAGAACAGTGTTAACTGTGTGTCCAAAATGGGTCAATAACCCTAATGAGCCTCAATGTGAGGAACACAATTATTATTTGTAGACAAAAAGTTTCTCTGCCATGATATGGGACATGTTCTTATCTTAAAGAGTATACTGAAGTTATTCATTTATGCCATTTTAAAGGGCAGTGGACCATAGAATAAATTGTTAAGATGTAAAAAATATGGAGTTTTTAAATGTTTTCAAAGAATAGAATTTCCAGAGAATATGTTTTGGAGAAAATCAGGATTTTTCAGTTCCATATCATAAATGGCTTTTCATGGTTGGCTAAATTGCTGCAAATTTAATTTCAAATGATAGTTCAAAATCGAACCACATATTTGAAAATTGCTCGCTTTGAAATATGCAATCATACATATCCAATTGAAGAAAAGATTAATGTAGTTTGACAATAGAAACCTGAAATATAATGCAAGGAGAAAAAAGAAAAACTACAAAAATACCAAACTCCAATGAAAATTCAAAACGGAAAGTCCTTAAACAATTGGCAAAATCTAAAGCTCAAACACATCAAACGAATAAAAAACAACTGTCATATTCCTGACTTGGTACAGGCATTTTCTTATGTAGAAAATGGTGGATTAAACCTGGTTTTAAAGCTAGCTAAACCTCTCACTTGTATGACAGTGGCATAAAATTCCATTATATTAACAACAATGTGTGAACAAAACAAACAGACATTATAGGTAAAAATGTCAAAAATAGGGGCACAGCAGTCATCATTGTGTTATAATCTCAAGTGCTATAAAAACAAACAAATATGTCAACAAAGAAAAACAAAATGGCATATAGACAAAGCACATACGCAACATTGAAACACAAGAATACAAAAAATGACAACAGCACAACAACACAATGGCGGGATGTACAAGTACCAAGCCACTTCAAAAGGATATTACCAAAAAATGGACCAAACAGTAAACGTTAATAATTTACAAAGACAAATAAAAGAACACTATAACACATATCCTTCGTTAAAACTTTTACAGAATAAAAAGAAAATAGGTGTCACAGTCCTTGTTTACTTGAAACATATCTAAAAGTTGAATTATGGTACAGTCTATAATAAAATCAGATCATCTGAGTCATCTCTCTTTTTTAATCTAATTCTTTGAATGTTTGTTGATACTCGTCACACATATTTTACTGTAGATAAAAGATCAGATGAGTTTATATGTAGGTTCACAAAATTTGTAGACCAATATTACCTTAATAAATAGAAGTATCATTGCTAAAATTTTGTGTAGATAAACCCTGTATGTAAAAAAGTTAGTACATTTTAATATCCATTCAAGTTTGGAAATGCCTGCAGTAAAATTGAACTCCTTTATGTATCATAGTGGTAGTTATCATACTGTAGCATGTACAGTTAATATCTGCAATTTTAAGGCCACTGTAAAACTTTTAAATTAGCATGTGTATATATTTACCAGGTAGAAGAAAGTGGATACGTACATTGTTGGAGATATAAAACAGAGGGATGGACATTTTTGTTGACACTTGATATTTGTAATGTAAATCAGACATCTGTTGTTAGTATCTGTCTTCACCCATCCCAGAATGCGTTGTTTTGGTGTGAAGAACGCAAAGTAGAGGATAGAACAATATATTGTATATGTAAAAGACAGCTGCCTGAAGGTGATAACTGTATATGCATATTGACATCATCTCTCATGAAATTTTTGTTTGTTAAGAAAAGATAAATGTTAATTTTTTTAAAGAATTATTTTAACAATTCCTTTAAGTTTGAAATGCAGCTAGTCTTATTTTGCTGCTTTAAATAATAGTAAAACATTATCTACTGGCTAGTTGTGGAGTTTCTTTTGCAGATTTGTAAATTCAGAATCTGACAATTTTTTTTTCCATGTTTTTATTATTGTAAAAATATAGGCATATGATAAGTATAACAATAATTAAACTTGTACATATGTATTTCAGTTCTGGTGCAGTTCCTGATATTTCATTAAATTGTCTCACATTTTTTGTCTTGTCAACTAATCCATAATCTCTGTAATTAATGCATGCGATAAATTCTAAATTTTTATTACAATATTTATTGTTCACTGGACATTTACCTTGGATCTTTTTTTACTTTTATCAGCTTTACAGTTCTATAATACTGTTTTTTGTGTGTCACCTACAATTATCAGTTTACATTAACTTTTTGATTTTTATAACAACAAAAATATCAATTAAAAAAAATGAGATACAATTAATACTGCTGTTATTGGTTTGCCATAAAATATGAATAAACTACAACAGCAAAGCTGAAAGCTGGATTGTAAGGATTGTGTACACACAAAATGTTGTTTCAACATTAATGATTAATCATGTGCTCTTATTTTCTTTGAATTCGTTTTGAAAATGTTCAGTTAATACAATAGGAAAGAATGAGAAATAATTATTGCATGAAGTTTTGCAATATGTAGAGTAGTGAATGCATTTTTTTTTATGCAGATGAAGAAAAATTAGAGAACAGAGAAATTGGAAATCCTATTGTTATAATGCACAATTGTCCATCATGTCAGCTTTATCCATCCATTTCAGGACTATATATAGTTGTCAGGTAATTTTTATTTTCTAGATTTAAATGTCAGAAAAACAGAACTAACAGTATGTCTGCACCTGATCTGTGAATAAAGTATATAGTTATTATTATGGAAACTAAGAAAGAACCATGAAGTCTGAAGTAAACTAACATTGATTGGTTAAAAAAACCTTATAACACTTGAAGCATAAAAATATCTTTATACCAAATTTTGAAGTTTATATTTTTAATCTTAATTGTCCAGTTGATAAGAAATGACAGATTGTTCAATGAAGTTATAAAAATGTCATTATGATTAAGATTTTGATGCTGAAGAAGGCTAAATAAACTTTTTGGTTTTGAGATTGGGCATTCTATATAATAGGAAAACATACAGGTAACAATTCAAATACTTTTGAGCTCTTATTTTAGTGCACAGTCATTATTTTTTGTGTATTTTGATCATTGTTAACATTGCTCATGTACAGACTGTGTTTGGAAAATGTTGATATATATTAGAATATGCTTTCAGAAATAAACTGCCACTGGTGTCCATGGTGATATTATGGCTTAGTTACTCAAACAAAGTTATAGTTAGTATTGGTAGGCAGAAAACAGAGGTAACAGATTTCAGCATAAATCAGCCAATAGAATTCAACAAACTTGCTGTAAAATTAGCAGGATGTATATCTAAGGTAAAGTATATTTACAAGAGTTTTTACTTTGTCGGTGAAGATAGAAGGTTTTCAGAATTCATGTCTTTGAACTTTTCATCCCTGTGTAAATTTCTCTCTTAATTAATGTAAAATGAATGTCCTCATGCATTAGTTTCTTTCATTCTGAATTTTGATAACAGAAATAACTCAAACATTTTGAGATAAAAGATATGCATAGAAACCAGTCTATTATTGAAGACTATGTAATGAACTCTAGACATCTTTCAGATCTTCTTTTATTCATATTTGTAATAAAGTTACTGAATATGTCTTCTAGTAGATATGTTTAAAAGGAAATGTTGGGTACTTCAATGAGACAGCAACCCAATGACTGAAATAACCGATAAAAAACCACTATATCTTATAAATTATGATTAAACTGAATGTTATATCTTATTAGATAGGTTAAAAGATATTATTGTGCATTAAATCTAATAAATCTTTTAAAAAAAAACATTCTAGAGAAAATAAAATAAAATTAAGCTCCCAAATTTTCTACTTCAGAAATAGTTTAAAAGTGTTCAAACATCTGGTTTTTGTTCTTTTATTTTACATTTCTCAGTGAAATGAACTCATATGGCCATATACTAATAAATCATATGTTGTATTTCAGGTAAAGCCAACTGATCACTTAGGAGGAATTATATACAGAATACAGGACATGAACTTGTCAACAGTTCTAAAAGATGGAAGTATTATTAGTTTGTCAGAAAGTGAAGGTTTGTAAATCTTCCTTTTCATGGTTTTTGATTATTTTAAATTAATTAACTCATTTTCAACTTGAACACTTCTGGTATTTTCTTTTTGGTTTACATAGAGTTCATATTATCAAAATGATAAGGCTTGACTATATTATGTGAAATAGGATAATAGAAGGGGTTCTTGGTCACCCATATTCAACACAGTCTAGTATTCAATTGTTAAGGTCAAAGTCCGTTTACATCACTAGAGTGCATTCAATGCATTCTATATGTAAAAAGAAAGAAAATTCAAACTATATCATGCAGTACAGGTTTTACTCATTGATGAAGTCTGTTTGGTGACTTGTATTGTTCACATCTTTGTCCTCATGGATTGTTGTCTCATTGGCAATCATTCCACATCTCCTTATTTTCATTTTGTTTATTTTATCATAGATAACAAGTATTCTAACCATATCCATGTCTGGTCCTTGTCATAGCACATACTCAAATCTGTTAGCAATATACTATATTGGTTTTTAGTCCCCTACCGACGAAGTCGAAGGGTGTTTGCACTCTGTCTGTCTGTCTGTCTGTCTGTCTGTCTGTCTGTCTGTCTGTCTGTCTGTCTGTCTGTCTGTCTGTCTGTCTGTCTGTCTGTCTGTCCGTCAGTCAGTCAGTCTGGCAAATCAGTTTTCCACACTTTTTTTCTTCGTGCTTGAAGATATTGATTTGAAATTTGGTGTATTGTTTTATTATGACAAGTAACAGATCAAGATCGAATTTTGTTCCGGTCTGATGATTTTGTGCATAGTTATGGTCCTTGGACTTAGAAAATTCACTCAAATAATCAGTTTTCTGCACTTTTTTTCGTCAAGCTTGAAGATATTGATTTGATAATTGGTATAAAGTTTTATCATGACAAGTTACAGATCAAGATCAATTTTTTTCCCGTCCTGATGATTTTGTGCAGAGTTATGGTCCTTGGACTTAGAAAATTCACTTAAATAATCAGTTTCCACACTTTTTTTTGTCATGCTTGAAGATATTGACTTGATATTTGTTATATAGCTTACACCATGCAAAGTTATAGATCAAGTTAGCATTTTGTTCCAGTAAAATGAATTTTTAACTGGTAGGGGACTATGTATTGCCATGCAATACTCTCAGAATGCTTGTTTTTTCCAATACATCATCTGCATTTATTTGTAGGTGATAAAAAGAAGACACAGTTTATGATTGATTTAAAGAATGTTTCCAATGAATGGTTTGAATTTCAAAAAGTCATTGGTTCATTACAGGATTCAAAAATAATGTAAGAGTCTCTCTGTGCAATTTCCACAAAATGAAGTCTAAGTAGGTAAAATTTTAGACTTTAACATGTTCTGCTGATACTATTATCAAGTCAAAGGAAATATTTTATCAAATACTTTTATACAATTCTTTTTTTTCAATATTCCATTAAATTTGTAAATTGAATTTTGGATTTATCTTATCCATAACATATCAAGATGTGGCATTAAACTTTCATAATGTTCTATTACAAATTCCAGATTCATATCCTGATTGTTTTTTGAAATATATCTTCTCTGTAATGATCAAAATTATATGATAAAGTATGGTGATGTCATTAATTCCAGAACTCTTGTCAGAAAAAAAAAAATATGAATACTTTTTATTACAAATGGTATTTCTATTAACTAACTATAAATAGCCTTTGGAATTTTTGTAATTAGTTTCATAAATAATTGGACCCATAAACAATGGTAATTGAATAGCCTTCGTAATTTTTATACGACCGCAAGTCGTATATTGGTATGACGTTGGCGTCGTCGTCGTTGTTGTCGTCGTCCGAAGACACATTGGTTTTCGCACTCTAACTTTAGTTTAAGTGAATGGATCTCTATGGGGGTTATGGTACCAACAGTTAAGAAATAAGGGGCCAAAAAGGGGCCAAAAATAAGCATTTTTGTAACTTCCAGACATAACTTGTGTGTTAGTGTATTAATCTCTCTGACATTGTACCACAAGATTCTATATCACAAAGGGAATGCTGGGATTGATTTTGGGGGTAATTGCCTCAAAATTATAGGAATTAAGGGCCAAAAAAGGGGCAAAAAACAAGCATTTTTCTAGTTTCATGACAATAACTTGTGTGTAAGTGTATGGATCATTCTGAAATTGTACTACAAGGTTCCATATCACAAAGGGAAAGCTGGAATTGAGTTTGGGGATAATTGCCCAAAACGTTTAGGAATAAGGGGCCAAAAAGGGGCCAAAAATAAGCATTTTTCTAGTTTCCAGAGAATAACTTGTGTTCAAGTGTATGGATCTCTCTGAAATTGTACTGCAAGGTACCATATCACAAAAGGAAGGCTGGGATTGATTTTGGGGGTAATTGCCTCAAAATTTTAGGAATTAGGGGCCAAAAAGGGGCAAAAAACAAGCATTTTTCTAGTTTCCGGACAATAACTTGTGTGTAAGTGTATGGATCTTTATGAAATTGTACTACAAGGTTCCATATCACAAAGGGAAAGCTGGGTTTGAGTTTGGGGGTAATTGCCCTAAATGTTTAGGAATTTGGGGCAAAAAAACAAGCATTTTTCTAGTTTCCAGACAATAACTTGTGTTCAAGTGTATGGATCTCTCTGAAATTGTACTGCAAGGTACCATACCACAAAGGGAAGGCTGGGATTGAGTTTGGGGGTGATGAATCATAAGGGGGTTCAAAAAATTTTTGGGGGGGGATTTTTTTTCCCCTTTTTTTCTTTAAAATTTTCCATTTTAAATTGGTTATTTCTGATTTATATATGTAGAACTCTAAAGTACGTTGGTACTCTAAAGTGCGATGGTCACGCTAAAGGAAGATGGTCTACGCTAAAGTGCGATGGTGTCAGACGCTAAAGTGCGATGGTTGTTTTTTTTTAAGTGCGATCAGATATAACGCTAAAGTGCGATGGTATGACACGCTAAAGTCCGATGGTGTAACGGGAATGTGGTTCAGGCAATGGTTTTCGTTTGTTGCTGAGTTCCTATTACATTTTCGTTTATTGTTTTATTTATATATCAAGCCGTAGTCTTTCTCTTTTGAATTGTTTTACACTGGTCATTTTATAACCCTATATAGCTTGTTATGAAGCATGGGCCAAGGCTTTACGTTGACGGCCGTATGATTATTAGTTGCATACATGAACGACATTTGGGGTTGGATTGATAGTTTATACTACATCTTCTTATTTTTATTTAAAGTACGATAGTTGTCTAAAAAGTGTAATGGTTAAACTGCAGTATAGTTAGTATATCCGGAATTTAGTAGAAGTCGTTTTTTAATAAAAAATAATATGTTGTGTAAGACAATGCTCCGCGTTAAAGGTCATACCTAAAGTTGCATACATCAATGACATTAGGTCGTGGATAGAGAGTTGTCGTATTGGCAATCATATTTTATAATGATACTACACATCTGTTCGTCAGGTTGCTGTCTAGTTGAAGTATATTCATTATTTAACAGAAATAACAAACCATATTGTAATTTTTTTTATAGAATTATTCAATTAGAAAGTAACTGTTTTGATTAAAGCTCTTTTTACAATTTTTACAAATTAAGTTCACCTCTTCAAGCAACGACAAAAATAGTTCCAGATTGTGATCATTTGTTTCTCTCTTCTTTCTTTTCTTGTGTAATAAAAATCCTTAATCTGGACAAACAATCTCGTCATGCTGTCGAACGTTGCTAACGTCGATACTTTTGGGGAAAAACGCACTTTAGCGTGTTCAAATGATAAGCACAGACCATCGCACTTTAGCGTATCAAACCATCGCACTTTAGTGTAGGCCATCGCACTTTAGCGTGACTATCGCGTTTTAGCGTCCCCATCGCACTTTAGAGTCCTACATATATAAAAGCAAATAATAATGATATGGTTTGAATAGTTAAATTAAAAATTTTTAAGTTCTTAGACCACATTCATTCTGTGTCAGAAACCTATGCTATGTCAAATATTTAATCACAATCCAAATTCAGTACTTTATCAAGCTTGAATGTTGTGTCCATACTTGCCACAACTGTTCAGGGTTCGACCTCTGTGGTCATATCAAGCTGTGCCCAGCGGAGCATTTTATTTTAATTAGTTTCATAAATATTTGGACCCATAAACAATGATAATTGGTACAATGGATGTAATAATGATTCTACAGAAACTGTTTTAAGTCTTGTAAGTAGCAAGTAGGACAACCCATTTTTGATTTAATGTGGGAAGTAATTGAATAATTTATAGTAACTTATTTCTGCTTTTGTATTATGAAATTCATTATTTTTAAATGTTTTTTGTATTTTATAGGTTGTACAGGAAGCTGGAGCAGGGATCAAGACTTGAACAAATACCAGTAAAAAGCCCTGATGGCAGTCCTATTATAGGTTTTTGTAAACTGAGCATTGGAACGATGTGGCCAGCATTTTACACGGAAAACAACATATACACTATTCAAGTAGGACTTTATTATTTTTTTGCTTGCTATGCAGGTTTACTTCAGAAATTGAAAATGAAGAGCTACTGTCAATAACCTAAATACACATGGAAACCAGAAAGTAATGTACCTGGAATTGTTACTGGGAATGATTTGCTTTGAGCAGATTTATATGTTTATGATTTTACAGTTTATATACCAAAAAGTTTTATACCTTATGTTGTTGATATGAAACATGAATATTTATAGCTTTTATATTAATGGAAACGATTTTATTATTTATGTTTTCAGTGGTCCAGTAAAGAAGACAAGCACACAATAGATACATTGGTAAAATCAGGTAACTTCCAAACACCAGCAGTTCATCTAGCCTTGTTAGAACAGAGGAAAAGCGATGAACCATCCCCTGAGGTTTACACAGATTTGTCTAAACTCAGGCAGAACCACTTGATGAACCTGGATAAAGAACCAGCAACAAAACTGGCTGTTCTATTAGGTATGTAACATCCCATCAGTATATAAAATTGTTTTGGGAATAAAGAACCATAACTTTGATAAAACAGTCGAACCTCATTGTCGAACTCAGTTGTGTGGATACTCCACGTAAAATTTTCATTTGTTCAATGCTTTTTAATTTCTAATAATTTGAACTCTGTTGATTAGAAATGTGGGTTAATTTCAGCATATTTTGAAGTCCTTAGAAGAAAAATGAACATAAATTACCCTAACCCTAATGTGAAAAATTTGACTGGTAAAGTTAAAATTTTCAATTCTGATGCTGCTTTAAATATTCTAGTCATATGTTTTAATTTGCATCAAAATGTGTTTCCTCATTTTATGCTATGCCTATCAAATTGTTTGTAAAACAATTAGAATGGTATGTTAATTGTTTGTCAAAACCCTAGAAGGAGGATGAATATTGCATATTTTCCCAGACTGATCTAACTTTGAATAAACTTGAAATACCTTTTCTTTTACTGTTATAGTTCTTATTTATCATCAGAACTTTATTACATTCAGTATTACATGTATTATTCATTACAGAGCCTTATTTAAAGAACTACTGGGAGTTGGATGGTTTTCAGCAAGCTTTTCTGAAGCAAAATTCTGTAAGTATACATCTTTATATCCCCTCAAACAAAGTTTATGGGGTATATAGGAATAGCCTGTCATCTGTCTGTCTGTTCGGACCAACTTTTTATACCCCCTCCGTAGCGGAGGGGACATTAATTTTTACCCTTGTCCGTCTGTAGGTCCGTACGTCCGTACGTCCGTCTGTTCGTATGTCCCAAATTTGGTTTCCGTTCTCTAACTAGTTTGCCCCCACCAAATGTTATGAAACTTATACACAATGCTTATTACCACAATACAAAGATCAAGTTTGAATATTGGTGGCGTCACTTTAACCGTTCATAAGTTATGCCCCTTTACAAATGGAAAAATTGCTGAATTTTTCGTTTCCGTTCTCTAACTTTAGTTTGCCTCAACCAAATTTAATGAAACTTATACACAATGCTTATTACCACAAAATACAGATCAAGTATGAATTTTGGTGGTGTCACTTCAATAGTTCATGAGTTATGCCCGTTTACAAATGAATGAATTGCTGAATTTTTCGTTTCTGTTCTCCAACATAAGTTTACCTCTACCAAATGTTATGAAACTTATACACAATACTTATTACCACAAAACTCAAAATGCAAATTTGAGTAGCATCACTTTTACTGTTCTTCAGTTATGTCCCTTTATAACTTTATATGATATGCAAGCGGGAGCATCATCTGTGTCCCATTAACACATTCCCCATTTATTTTCATTGTATCCTTTGTTTGATCCTCTTCAAACTGAGTGGAATCTGTACTTAGTTATGTACAAATAGTTATTGTATTTTAGAGAAGAACTACACTACAAAGACTCCAGAAAGGTATGAACTACGTTCAGTGGAAACAAAGTTGTAATTCAATTGGATTTTCTTCATACACTAGAAATTCAAATGTGATAATAGTTCTATTTATAGGGTTAAGTTATCAACCAGGTCAATAGTGATCTTTCTGTTGCAAGAAGTATAAACTGATCAGGACACAACACAATGTAATGAAAAAAAGGCTTGGACAAGTTACCGTTAAAGTTAAATTCTGTCAAAATTATTTAACCATATCGTTGATACACCTGTAGATACTACACTTACCTGGCATCATGTAACCTGGAACTTTAGGGTTACGTGGGTCTTTAACTGGAGGTAATTCTTTGTTTCCTATCAAATACCAGTATTAAAGATATATAGATTTAAATACACTTTTAAAATTAAAATGAATTATCTGGTGCCAGCTATTGAGACTGACTGCAAAGATCTCTGGTAAAAAAACCTTTTTCTAATAATTTGAAGAAAAGGAGGTGTAATTTTCAAAGAAATTAATTAATTTGGCTTTTGAATAATTCTCAATGAATGAATTTGTTTCCATTCCTGAATTAATCTTGCCATAAACATTGAATTCTGAATTTCCATTTCTCCTGACCCAATTCCCAAACTTAAAGTTTTAAATTGTTTCAATTTTATTACAGAATAGCCTTAACCTTTCTTGATCATTCCAAACTCTTTCATAGGATAAAATGCCTCCCCTAGCAGATCTATTATGTTAACAGGAGTTATTATCAGTGGGATATCCAGTGAACGAAAACAAAAGAAAATTCACTCTTCTTATGATAGAGTCAAGAAAATCAATAATAAAACAATGCTGGTGACGATACTGATCGAAAGTTATTTCTAAATAAAAATTGTACATTTTAAAGAAATAATTTGTTAAACTGTGTTATTAGAAATATACATGCAAATACACGATGTTTTATGTTCAGTATTTATCGAGATAATTGCATTAGAAGCTTGTGAAACTGAAATCTAAAAAATGTTAATCTTTGTTGCATATTAATGCTACACAAAGACAACAACATCGTAGATTACTGCAAGGAAAATCTTTATTATGGTCTACAGGTTTCGACACTTACGGTCGCGTCTTCAGGACAATTTAAACATAGAAAACAAATATTGAAATACATAAAATGCGGTACATATGGGGTTACAAAGGTTAACAAGACGTAACGTCACAATAATAGATTTGACAACGTTAAAATGAAAGTGAAAGTAAAAGTTAATAATGAATTGTCAGTGTCTTTTCCAAAATGGACAACACCTCACAGGACATTCCGTACCATTCCAAAAGGCTTCACTCGGAAAGAGGTACTACTTCCAATTGCGTCGGGAATGTTGTAAGATATATGGTAGTCCCACATGTAGGGCATGGTGGAAGTTGTGGTGAATTGGTTACATTTTGCGGTTGTGGTACACTATCCATGTTGCAAGTTTATTTCAACAATAATCGTGCGGTTCTGCGGTTCAGTACGTTTTGCGGTGGTTTTCTTTTGATCTTGAGTGGTAGTAGTTCATTTGTTGACTTGCTAGAATAATTCGGCAATCTCGGAAGGGGTCGATATTGTCAATGCGGTGTGGTTGTCAAATACAACGCTGGTTTGGCAAAGGTGGATCGTCTAGATGCAGGGGTTCACAAAAAAATAATAGGTTGCATCGGGTGAACCAACACCTTCTAACGGTACAGGCTGGTAGAGAGTAATCAGGATGGATACCCGGAGGTATGCTGTGGTTGTCTTAAAACCTCAGGAAAATAATGCTACACAAAGACAACAACATATTGCATATTGATAAAAAAATTGGAAAAAATCATGTACTTACAAAATCTAAAGATCTTTGGGGTCACCAATTTTCAGAGGGTTCCATAAAGTCCTAAGCATGTTACAATTTCCCAAAATATATTTATTTTTCACATATAAGTTTTCGAGTACACTGGTCTGCTCTTGTAACATGAACATTCAATATAGAAATATTGTCTTTTCGTGAATAAAACAATTTCAAAGTCTGTCTGTGCAGGTTAAAAAAATAAAAATGAATATCTTTATAAAGTAGGTATCTTTTAACTATTTTTATGCCCCACCAACGATAGTAGAGGGGCATTATGTTTTTCGGTCTGTGCGTCTGTTCGTTCGTCTGTCCGTTCGTCCTCCGTTTTTCTGTCCCGCTTCAGGTTAAAGTTTTTGGTCAAGGTAGTTGTTGATGAAGTTGAAGTCCAATCAACTTGAAACTTAGTACAAATGTTCCTTATGATATGATCTTTCTAATTTTAATGCCAAATTAGAGTTTTGACCCCAATTTCACGGTCCACTGAACATAGAAAATGATAGTGCGAGTGGGGCATCCGTGTACTATGGACACATTCTTGTTTAATACAATTTTAAGAAAAGGTCATCTCTATTTTTGTACATGTTTTTGCAGACTCTCGATTTATTTACATTTAATGTTTACATCGGAATAAGGTCTGTTTGAATTTGCTTAGTAACTATAAGTGTTAATCTTTGCTGCATATCAATTGATTTGAATTTTTTCCTTGACTTTCTCTGATCTAGCTGCATATATATACTGATAATGAGCATGTTCCAGAGAGGTATATCGCCAGTAGAAAAATAAGTTGAAGTTGGTACTCCAGGAATTTATTCACATAGCAACATTTTATACCAATTTTACATGAAGCTCTTATAACCTGCTGTACTCTTCGTTTGCTATTTAAGGAGGGAAATGATAACATTAAATGGAAGTTTTGTTTTTATTTCAACTTATTTCTAATTTTACTATTTACAAGAACGTTTTCCTGTGAATTTATATTTGATAGTGTCCTTGCTAAAATGGGACAAACATTGAAAAGATCTAGTTTTCAGTGTTTTTAGGGGAGTTAATATTTTGTCACTAGATTTCCCACTGGAATAAAAGATCATGATATGCAAATGTTACCATGTTTTGTTTATCCAGAATTATCCCCTTTCACTTTATAGAATATCGACCCTGTTCAGAACCAGCCTTGTCATTGCAGGGGGTATAAGTCCAGCTAGTGAACAGTTTTAGTTAATTGCTGTTTAAAAACTACTACTTCAATTGTTTATCAAGAACTATTTAATACTTAAAATTGTCCATTGTTCAAGACACTATCATTGTTGTTAATGCAATATATTCATGTGAGCAATACAGGCTCTTTAGATTCACTAGTTGATACTTTCCTGTATATTATTTAGTGTGGTCCTGTATCTATCTATTTCTCTGGTAGATATTTTTAATAAATTATGTGTTTTCAGAATTTACCAGAACTATCCTGTAGAGGTGTAGAAGATGAAGTACTTCACACAATATCACCTCAGACGATGACGCCAATGTCTGCCAGACAATCCTGGCTACTTATTCTCTCTAATATCTACCCACAGCAAGTCCTCAAAGTTCTCAATACTTTAATGGACTTTGAAACTCATGGTATGTAGGAAGATGGTTAGAATTAAAATAGTGCAATGTTATATATTTTAGTAATGTTACTTTGCTCTTCTACTAATGTCATGAAAGTTTTTGTTTTCATCAAACTTCAAGTTATGCTTTGAGAATGAAAGGGAGATAATAAGCAGAAAAGATTTATATTGTGTTATCCCTTTTGGTTCACAAATTATTTTTTAGGGAGAATGTTTTTCATTTGTACCAGTACAGTGTATCAATAAATAAACTTTTCCCATACGAATGCATGAATGTATGCATTAGGATATGGCAGCACATGGTTATTTAAAAATTGGCTATGGTTAGCTCTCGCAGTTGTTTGTCACAACACCACAACAAGGTCAAAATTTACAAAAATAAAGCTTATCCCGTGGTTAAATTTTTAAATCCCTATTAATTTAATGCATATTACTAGTATTGTATTAGTTTTGAATATATAGCTTGATGATATATAAATTAACAGATGACATCAGTACATCACAGATACAGAGATGGCAGTGTATATTGGCCAATGAGAACACAGTTAGTCCTGTTAGCAGTGATGTGGCTGTTCCATTGTTTGAACATTTGTGCCGTTTGATGTTACTCATTCAACCACAAAAATTAGTAAGTTTTGTGATAATTAGGAGTTCTATATGCAAAATTACTTAATTCATTGCCATTGCAAACTTTGATAAAAATGTAGATTTAAAAAAAAAATTTGTTTAAAAGATTTTTTTTATGATTTCATATATTTTGTTCATTTAGAACCTTGTTTAATGATAACCCTGTTTGCATTGTTTTTCACTATTGAAAGTTTACATTATTTTAGGTCCAGTTTGTAAAACTGTGTCAGATGATAAACAATCAGAAAGTTGGTGTGTCAGCATTTATAAGGAAAAGACAAGCTGTAAGAGGGAGTATTTGTTATAGTTTACCTAAAACCCATGTTTACAATTTTTTCAGCTTTCATTAAATTTATTTTTATATGCTTATACGTATTTTGTGTATCCCTCCACTAAAAGTATAAGAGCCTTTGCAGAGGTTTGAGTTCTTTATGTTTGTTCATTCTTTGGTTTTTTGTCCTGCCTGCAACGAAAGTCGCAGTATGCGAGACATAGGCATTACTATCCGGCGGTGGCGTAAACTAATTTGTATAAAGCTTTATATTTCAGAAGGTAGAAGACCTGGATGCTTCATACCTTGTATGCAGATACCTTATGTTACGAAGTTTCCGTCTGTCATATGCCCATTGTCCTTGACCTCATCTTCATGATTCAGTGACTGCCTGAAAAAAAATTAGTTTTTTTGTCATGTGAATTTCTCACTTATTATGAGTATTAGGATAACTATATTTGGTATATGGGTTCCTTGCAATGTCTACATGTCCATCAGACAGGGTTAACCTGACCTCGACCTCAATTCATGGATCAGTGATCAAGGTTAAAGTTACATGATTAGGTCCCTTTCTCAGATACTACAAGCAGCAGGTCAACTATATGTGGTGTATGGAATGATTGTAAGGGGTACATGTCAAACTGGCAGGTTTCATCTGACCTTGACCTCATTTATGGTCAATACGCAACAGCATAGTGTATTGCACAAAAGCAAAAAAAAGGGGGGGGGAATTATTTTTTTTGTGGGGGGAGGGGGGTCAATTCGCAACAGCAAAGTGTATTGCACAAAAGCAAAAAATTGAATATAAATTCAAATCATAATAACGAATTCTAAGTTCTTTGACTACAGTTATTCTGTGTCAGAAACCTATTATGTGTCAAATATTTAATTACAATCCAAATTCAGACCTGTATCAAGCGCGAATATTGTGTCCATTTTTGCCCCAACTGTTCAGGGTTGGACCTCTGCAGTCATATCCAGCTGCGCTCGGCGAAGCAATTTATTCAAGTACTATAAGCAATAGGTTAACTATATTTGGTGAATGGAATGATTGTAAGGTGTACATGTCTGTCTAGCTGATGTCATCTGACCATGACCTCATTTTCATGGTTCATTGGTCAATGTTAAGTTTTTGTGTTTTGATCTGTTTTTCAAATACTAATAGCAATAGGTCAACTATAATTGGTGAATGGAATGATTGTAAGGTGTACATGTCTGTCTAACCAGTATCATCTGACCTTGACCTGATTTCCATGGTTCATTGGTTAACATTAAGTTTTTGTGTTTTGGTCTTTTTTTCAATTACCATAAGCAATGGGTCAACTATGTTTGGTGTATGGAATAATTGTACGATGTACATGTCTGTGTGACAGTTTTTATCTGACCTTCACCTCATTGTCATGGATCTTTTAAAATGTTAAGTTTATGTGATACATTTACTTGTAGTAAAACCTTTATCTTTAAGACTTTCAACATAAAATCAATGGTGAGTAAAACAGGCAAGACATTTCAGTGTGTGCACTCTTGTCTTCACTTTTGTCTGTTTTTTTTGTAGTTGTTCACTATGTCATACTTACAATGCACAATGAACTTTTTATGCTTCATGGAAATAATCCTTATATATCATTTAAATTCTCCTTACAAAACAAATGATTTTCATGTGATATATTGTATCTCTGAGTTGTATTGAAACCAAGTCGAAACTGATTTAAATTCATAGTGAAAGACCTTGTTGAGTTTACTTTTACCATATTTATTTCCAGCTTCAGTACTATGATAGAGCTTTGGACTGTTTACCATCACCTAAAGATTCAGAGAATCCTGAGAAGGCAGTAAATGCTTATGTAGAGCTGTTGATGGCAAGGTAAAATTTCAGATGCTTCTTTTGCCATCTTTAAGAAAAAGAAAATGCAATTTAGATAACTGTTGATCATTTATACTTAGAGAAAAAAACAACATTTACTTTTATTTCTACAATACATTAAATAAGTTTTCTATGATGTTTATTTCATGCAGAATTTTATGTTTATTATGTATAAGTATTTTACTCCATTTTCTCTGATGAAGATACTAGTTTTTGTCGAGTCTGCGACCTGCTGCAGAAAGCTCGACATAAGGATAGTGATCCAGTGACGGCTTTATCTAATTTCTTAAAAGCTTAATATTTCAGAAGGTAGAAGACATGGATGCTTCATACTTTGTATATAGATGCCTTATGTTATGAAGTTTCAGTCTGTCATATGTCCATTGTCCTTGACCTCATTTTCATGGTTCAGTGACTACTTGAAAAAAAGTAAGATTTTTTGTAATGTTAATTTCTCTCTTATTATGAGTAAAATGTTAACTCTATTTGGTATGTGCGTACCTTGCAAGGTCCTTATGCCTGTCAGACAGTTTTCACTTGACCTGGACCTCATTTCATGGATCAGTGAACAAGGTTAAGTTTTCGTAGTCAAGTCCATATCTCAGATACTATAAGCAATAGGTCTACTATATTAGGTATATGGAATGATTGTATGGTTTACATGTCCAACTGGCAGGTGTCATCTGACCTTGACCTCATTTTCATGGTTCAGTGGTCAAAGTTAAGTTTTTGTGTTTTGGTCTGTTTTTCTAATACTATATGCAATAGGTCAACTATATTTGGTGTATGGAAATATTTTACAATGTACATGTCAGTCTGGCAGGTTTTATTTGACCATGACCTCATTTTCACGGTTCATTGCTCTATGTTAAGTTTTTGTGTTTTGGTCTGTTTTTTTAAACTATAAACAATAGGTCAACTATATTTGGTGTATGGAATGATTGTAAGGAGTATATGTCTGTCTGGCAGGTATCATATGACCTTGACCTCATTTTCATGGTTCATTGGTCAATGTTAATTTTTCCTGTTTTAGTTTGTTTCTTAGATACTATATTCAATAGGTCAACTATATTTGAACGATGAAATGATTGTAAGATGTACATGTCATCTGACCTTGACCTCATTTTCATGGTTCATTGGTCAATATAAAGTTTTCATGGTTTGGTCTGTTTTTTTATACTGATTATATTGGTATCACGTCGTCGTCGTCCGAAGACACATTGGTTGCCAGACAATAACTTTTGTTTAAGTTTATGGATTTCTATGAAATTTTACCATAAGGTTTATGACCACAAAAGGAAGGTTGGGATTGATTATGGGGGTTATGGTCCTTACAGTTCAGGAATTAGGGGCCAAAATGGGGCACAAATAAGCATTTTTCTAGTTTCCAGACTATAACTTGTGAAATGGTGTATGGATTTCTCTGAAATTATACCACAAGTTACCATATCACAAAGGGATGGTAAGAATTTGCTTTGGGGGGTTATGGCTCAAACTGTTTATGAATTAGGGGCAAAAAAGGGGGAAAAACAAGGGTTTCCAGGTTAATGGACAATTACTTAAGTACAAACATAATTTTAAAGCAGCGTAAGGGAGGTAATTCAAACACATATTGTCAAATTACCTCTCTTACACTGCTTGTAAATTATTTATAAAGAAATGTATTGTCTTTAGGTGATTAGCTGTCAATTTATTTTTAGAAGTTCCTATTTTAAAAATGTTTAATAAAGGTTATTTAATTATAGCCATGATTATGTATGTGAAGGAATTTTATTTTTAAATATTACTATTTAATGTTGCTGATGAAAGTGTTTTAATTTTAGGCATAATTATGATGTCATTTTCTATTTTAATACTTTTATGATGTATTTAAATGGGTTTTTATGGTTGCAAAGTCCTAGCTGTCAATTTATTTTTAGAAGTTACTTTTAAATGCTGATGAAGGAATTTTATTTTTAGATATTACTATTAAAAGTTGCTGATGAAGGTTTTTTAATTTTAGCCATGACTATGATGTCATTTTCTATTTTAATACTTTTATGATGTATTTAAATGGGCTTTTATGGTTAAAAAAAAGCATTTTTCTAGTTTCCAGACAGTAACTTGTGATTAAGTGTATGGATCTCTCTAAAATTGTACTACAAGGTTCCATACTACAAAGGAAAGACTGCAATTGAGTTTGATGGTTAATGCTAAAAGGGGGATTCAAAAAGTTTGGGGGAAGGGAGGGTTTCCAATTTTTTTTTAAAAGGGTTCATATTTTAAATTTTTGAAAAGTTTCAAGAAGAAATCTTTTCAATTGCACAGTATTGCGCATTAGATTTGTAAGATCTTTGACCACATTTATTTTGTGTCAGAAACCTATATAATGTCAAAAATTTGGTCACAATCCAAATTCAGATAGTATCAAGCTTGAATATTGTGTCCAAATTTGCCCCAACTGTTCAGGGTTCGACCACTGCGGTCGTATAAGGCTGGGCTCAGCGAAGCATTTTATTGTATACTAGAAGCAATAGGTTAACTATATTTAGTGTATGGAATGATTGTAAGGTGTACATGTATTTCTGGCTTGGTTTATCTGACCTTGACCTCATTTTCTTGGATCATGTTAAGTTTATGTGATACTTTTAGCAAAACTTTATATTTAGGACTATCAACATTAAATCAATGGTCAGTAAAGCAGGTGAGACTTTTCAGCGTGTGCACTCTTGTTAGAGTTAACCATAAAATTTGTTGGCTTTATTAATTATCATACCACCATCCATTGCCCAATGAGTAGATTTGTTTTATGAATTTTAGTGAGAAATCCCATTGTGAGAACACTGCATTGAAGATGTTCATTGATCATGGTCACTGGAAGGATTCTATAGAGCTTATCAAGAAATATAAAGAAAATCAAACATTGTATGGCAATCTCTACCTCACATTGTTCAGGGCTATGTCACAGGTTAGTATGGTTTAATGCTCTGTCACTAGTTAGTATGTATCAGGGTTATGTCACAGGATAGTAAGGATCATAGCTATATCACAAGATAGTAGGCAATGGGCGGTGTCATAAGTTATAAGTAGCCAAGTTTATTTCACAAGATAACATGGGTTAGGATTGAACTGCAGGTTAGTAGGTATTGGACAAGTTACAAGTAAGTAGCGAAGGGACTATGTCACAGGATAGTAGGGATCATCAGGATTATTGTGTCATTTAGCTGTGTGTTTTTTCGTTGATATTTACATTATTTATAGGCAATTATACATAGCAACACTTCTTAAAAAAATTCTAGTACCATTATAAATATTTTTCATAAAATTGAATTGATTTTGGAACTGGTACCATTACTTCAGCATTTCACATTATCTGAAATAAATGTAACTATCAGAGAAGGTATGACAAGGCAATTTTTGGCCCCTTGACTTAAAAGATAAATTTTTTTTATCTCTGAATAATATCCTTCAGATGTCCAAAAGGCATAATCAGATATAGATCAGTATTTGTATTTATAATTGTGCCTAACATATGTGCTAAAAGACTTGGGACTTTTTATACTACATGAAAAACTTCCAAAATAACCTTATTTTGAGAAGTTGTCATTATGTTTTAGATATGAGCCAAGGCCTTATAAAAAATACATTTTAGTGCAAGATGTCTTGTAGAAAGATGTTAATGTGGCTTATGTGACTATTTGGGTAAAGCCTTGGTATATATCTAATTTTCTCAAAAAATAGTCATTTTAGGTCAAATATGTCAAATTCATTACGTTTATGACATTATAGTACCATTACAACAAGAATTTCTATTCTAAAGTGTACAAATTGTGTCATCATATACATTTATCAATAGAACTAAGAATTGAAGATTTTTTTTTGTTTGGAATTTCAGGAGTCAGATATTCAGTGGCCCTTATCATATCTCCGCCCTTTCTAGTTGCATCCTCATATTTTGTTCTGAAGATTATGATGTTAAAGGCGTTTGTCTATTGAAAGGGGAATTCTTTTTTTTTTTGTGCATATAACTAGGATAAACTAGGATAACTGAAAAAAAATAGTACATGTACTGTTTCATTTTCTAAAATATGATTGAATAAAAGATCTGAAAATAGAACCACATATGTATAGGATGTACATTATTTAGAACCTCATTCCTCCAAAGTTCAGTCCATTGATTTTTTTAAGTTGATAAGTTGTTTCCAGATGAAGAAAAGGATCACAGACTTCATTTTGATGTATACATTATTGATTATTGATGGATTTGTTGTTATACCAGTTTCCATGGATTTGTGAGTACCAGTTTTCATGGATTTGTTAGTACCAGTGTTCAGTATAACTGAAGATTATGGTAAGATGGAGATTTAATTTCGTTTGTCTTTTGATGCAAAATATTTTTGGATAAGACAATGATTAAATTCTACTATTGATATTTACAGAAAGAAGTGTTATCAGAATATGCAGAAGAAATGTTCTTAGAGTCACCAGAAAATTCTTGGTAAGGTTTTATTTCTTGCTTTGTTCGTATTTATTTAAATTGCATGTTGAAGAATAATTTTATGCTAATATTGTTAACTCACTTTGGCATAAGGATCAGTTTAATGTGGCACCTTCATTTCTTCTATGTTTTTCATTGTCTATCCTGAATGATGTTTTATTGAGACTATCTCTGATAATACTGAATCAACTTAGCAGAAATTTGGCCATATTCATCCAATGGATATCCTTTCAAATTTATATATTTAAAATGTTTTAGACCAGCAGTTAGGAGCAAGGGTCCAGAAAAGATCATATTGCCATTCCTGACTGTTTGAATGTAGGAGACTGGCCCCTGTTATGTTATGGCATAAGATTTGTATATTTTTCAGATTTGTGTCCCTTATCTATCCCATGCCTTCTTTGGAAATCCTAGATCTGCCACTAAGTTTTCAATATTCTGTTGAGTAAAATCTAAATCTTAATGAAAAGATATACAGCTGGAATTAATAAATGCATTTTGATGAAGCCTTTCCATTTGTTGTTTGTGGATAAGAGGATGGGGGTTTACACATGATAATGTAAGAACCAGCCTAAAATGTCATTGTGAGAATAATTTTAACAGGTTGTCACAAACTTTACATCTTTTGATAAAACGTTACTAAGTGTTTTTTACATTTTTATATTTATTAAAAATTATCTTGTTTTTATTAGTTGCCAAAATGACCATGTTTCCTTTTTTTCAGTTTCACACAAATTTCATCGTTTTTATTGCCAAAAGATGCTACTAGTGCCAAAGATGTTTTTGTAAACTCATCATGTGATATTCCAATGCATGCTGTACGATCATCATTGTTAAAGTACTACACACCGAAATCATGATATATGGACATAGATAAAACTGTACAAAATATAAGTACATGGATTCATATTTGACTGATACAATGTGCAATATTATTGTTAAGTTTGTAAATAAAAAATGAATAAATACAAAGACTTATATTCCTTCCATTTCAATATCAAATGGCAAAAAGTGAAATAAATAGAGAAAAAAAAATCAGAAATGATTACAAAGACCAAGAAATACAGTCAATATTACAGATAACTGGTTGTTTGTTAGGTAGAGGAAACTGTTTCATTTATTTTTTAGAAGAAAAGAATCAAATTCCAAATAGAATAATATTTGAACAGTTCCTCTATACCATTATTTTTTAGTTTTGTCATTTTTCTGGATGTCTTCAAGGGGTACAACCCATTAAAATATTTTAGAATCACTCAATTTTCAAGGTCATTTGCAAATAGTTTTTAGTTCCAATTGATATTTACTGAAAAATGCTACTTTATAATACAGAAAACAAGTAAAATATAAAATCCATATGTCATTGGTTTTTAACTTGTTGGAAAAATGTTCTGCCACAAAGGACTACAAAAAAAAAAGCTTGACTGGTCTACCCATAGTTTTGTTAATTTGTGTAATATGTGTCCTGGTGAAGTTAAAAGGACACAACATCAGGTCATCAGAAGATTCCAGGTGAGATAGTTTAATCTGTCTTAATCTTGGGACAAAATTTGTATGTGTCTTATTAAGGGGTACATTCCTTCAAATTGAAACCTAGAAGGAAGGAATCATTGATGGAGCACCAAGCACATACATAGAAATAAACTAAGCACATACACAGAGGCTTCTTTATCTTTACCATCACTACCCTCAGCAAAGTTTAATCTCATGTAGCCTTTTCATCTGACCTTTATTTAACATGACCCAAATGTTATTATGTTGAATGCAAATACATTTTGTAGGAATTCATTCAAAAAAAGGATATCAGCCATTGAGCAGAATCATTTTAACCATTTTCTTGAAATTCCAAGGAACACACTGCCAAAATGTTTTTATCCATGATGATCACATGTCCTTCTTATCAAATCCTAGCTTGTTATTAGTCCCCTACCGACGAAGTCGAAGGGGACTTTAGGTTTGCACTCCGTCCGTCTGTCCGTCTGTCCATCTGTCCGTCTGTCCATCTGTCATTCCGGCAAATCAGCTTTCCACACTTTTATTCTTCGTTCTTGTTATTTAAGTCATGTATAAGTGTTGCAGGCATTTGCTTCCTTGAAAATTTTGAGCAAATGAGATTGATGTAAACATAGATGCATTTCACAACACAAGTTCATCTTGGGAGATTAGCATTATCTTATGACACACTTCAATTCTACTGACCAACACTAAGTATTAGTTAAAATTGTATAATTGTGGTAATGATATATATACCAGTAATTCTACAGATATATCATATATAATTTATTTAGAATTTGATAATTCATCTGTTTATCTTTTCCTGTATTTGATATAAAAAAAAATCCTAAAAAATACACCTACATGTCAACCTAAACTTCCATATCATTTTTGTCTTGTGTCATAGAATGTGAGACAGGGATTCTAATCCCCAACAGTGTTAACAATTTGTACAATGCTTTATATTTCAGAAGGTAGAAGACCTGGATACTTCATATTTAGTATACAGATTCCTTATGTTCTAAATTTTATGTCTGGCATATATCAATTGTTCTTGACCTCAATTTCATGGCTCAGAGGCTGATTGGAAAAAAAAATCAAGTTTTTATACAACCGCAAAAAAAATTTGTGGTCGTATATTGGTATGACGTTGGCGTTGTCGTCGTCATCGTCCGAAGACACATTGGTTTTCGCACTCTAACTTTAGTTTAAGTGAATGGATCTCTATGAAATTTTACCATAAGGTTCAATACCACAAAAGGAAGGTTGGGATTGATTTTGGGGGTTATGGTACCAACAGTTAAGGAATTAGGGGCCAAAAATAAGCATTTTTGTAACTTCCAGACATAACTTGTGTGTTAGTGTATGGATCTCTCTGACATTGTACCACAAGGTTCCATATCACAAAGAGAATGCTGGGATTGATTTTGGGGGTAATTGCCTCAAAATTTTAGGAATTAGGGGCCAAAAAAGGGGCAAAAAACAAGCATTTTTCTAGTTTCATGACAATAACTTGTGTGTAAGTGTATGGATCTTTCTGAAATTGTACTACAAGGTTCCATATCTCAAAGGGAAAGCTGGAATTGAGTTTGGGGGTAAATGCCCAAAACGTTTAGGAATAAGGGGCCAAAAATAAGCATTTTTCTAGTTTCCAGACAATAACTTGTGTTCAAGTGTAAGGATCTCTCTGAAATTGTACTGCAAGGTACCATACCACAAAGGGAAGGCTGGGATTGATTTTGGGGGTAATTGCCTCAAAATTTTAGGAATTAGGGGCCAAAAGTGGCAAAAAAACAAGCATTTTTCTAGTTTCAGGACAATAACTTGTGTGTAAGTGTATGGATCTTTATGAAATTGTACTTCAAGGTTCCATATCACAAAGGGAAAGCTGGGTTTGAGTTTGGGGAAATTGCCCTAAACGTTTAGGAATTTGGGACCAAAAAAGGGCCTAAATACAAGCCTTTTTCTAGTTTCTAGACAATAACTTGTGTTCAAGTGTATGGATCTCTCTGAAACTGTACTGCGAGGAACCATACCACAAAGGGAAGGCTGGGATTGAGTTTGGGGGTGATGAATCATAAAGGGGTTCAAAAAATTTGGGGGAGGGATTTTTTTTCCTTTTTTTCCTTTTTTTTTCTTTAAAATTTTCCATTTTAAATTGGTTATTTCTGATTTATATATAAAAGCAAATAATAATGATATGGTTTGAATTTTTTTAGTTCTAAGACCACATTCATTGTGTGTCAGAAAACTATGCTTATCAAATATTTAATCACAATACAAATTCAGTGCTGTATCAAGCTTGAATGTTGTGTCCATACTTGCCCCAACTGTTCAGGGTTCGACCTTTGCGGTCGTATCAAGCAGAGCATTTTATTCTTAATTATTACCAGTGATATTTGGCATAGAGAATCATTGTAAGGTATAAATGCCTGTCAGGCAGTGATCATCTGACCTTGACCTCATTTCCTGAATTTGTGATCAATATTAAGTTTCTTCTTGGTTGTCAGTTTCTTAGATATAAGAAATAGGTCAACTATATTTGTTGAATGGAGCATTTGTAAGGTGTACATGTCCTTTTGACAGGTTGATTTTTCATGGATTTTGATAATGTTAGTGATACCTGTAGTAATAAAATGCTCCGATTTCTTGCTATTGCGCAATACTGTGCAATTGAAGATTTCTTGCTATTGTGCAATACTGTGCAGTTGAAGATTTCTTGCTATTGCGCAATACTGTGCAATTGAAGATTTCTTGCTATTGCGCAATACTGTGCTATTGCGCTATACTGTGCAATTGAAGATTCCTTGCTATTTCTAAAATTTTGAAGAAAAAAAATGACCCCCCCCCAAAAAAAAAAAATTCCCCCTAACTTTTTGAATGCCCCACCCCCCTTTTTGAGTAATTACCTCCAAACTCAATCCCAGCCTTCCCTTTATGGTATGGAACCTTGTAGTACAATTTAAGAGAGATCCATACACTTAAACACAAGTTATTGTCTGGAAACTAGAAAAATGCTTGTTTTTTTTTGCACCTTTTTTGCCCTTAATTCCTGAAAGTTTGGGGCAATTAACCCCAAACTCAATCCCAGCCTTCCCTTTGTGATATGGAACCTTGTGGTACAATTTCAGAGAGATCCATACACTTAAAAACACACAAATTATTGTCTGGAAACTACAAAAATGCTTGTTTTTGGCCCCTAATTCCTAAACTGTTGGTACCATCAACCACAAAATCAATCCCAACCTTCCTTTTGTTGTATTGAACTTTCTGGTTAAAAATTCATAGAGATCCATTCACTTAAACTAAAGTTATTGTCTGGAAATAAAATGTGACGACGCAGACGACACCAACGACAACATCATAGCATTATACGACGCAAAAATTTTTTGCGGTCTTAAAAAAAAATGAAAAAAACAATTTCCAAAATTTCGTTCATCATGAATACAAAGTCTTTAAAATTCTAAAAAACTTACTTTTAATTATTTTTCAAAATATCTAATAATAAACAGTAAATTTCAAACTATATTTATAAATAATTTCTAAAATTAGAAATTGATGCTAAATCTATTTTAAATATGAATCTACTAACAATTTCTATTAATTGTGCAATACAGCTCTGAATTTGGATTGTGATTAAATATTTGACATTGCATAGGTTTCTGACACAAAATGAATGTTGCCAAAGAACTTAAAAATTTGAAATTGGATATTTACCTATTATGGTCCAATATCCAAAATCTAAATACATGGTTAGATTCAGCATATCAAAGGACCCCAAGAATTCAATTTTTGATGAAATCATACAAAGTTTAATTTTGAACCCTTTGGACCTCAATGTGGACCAATTTGATAATGGGGCCCAAAATCCAAAATCTAAATACACAGTTAGATTCAGCATATCAAAAAACCCCATAAATTCATTTTTTTTTTAAATCAAACAAAGTTTATTTTTGGACCAGCTTGAAAACTGGGCCCAAAAATCAAAAATCTAAATTCATGTTTATATTCAGCATATAAAAAAAATCCTTGAATTCAATTTTTGTTAAAATCAAACTAATTTAATTTTGGACCCTTTGGACCTGAATGAGGAATGATTTGAAAACAGGGCCCAAAATCAAAAATCTTAATTATACACAGTTAGATTCAGCATATCAAAGAACACCAAGAATTCTTTTTTTTTAAGTCAAACAAAGTGTAATTTGGGACTCTTTGGACCTCAATGTGGACCAATTTAAAAACAGGGCCCAAAATCCAAATACACTGTTAGATTCAGCATATTTAAAGAACCCCAGTAATTCAAGACTTTGAATTAAACCCTATTGAAATTGGTCAAGAAATAAGCAATTTATAAAAGTATTAAAAAAATATTGTTTGTATGCCCCTTTTTTCTAAACAGTTAGGGCTATAACCCCCAAAATTAATCCCAACCTTCCTTTTATGGTATGAAACCTTGTGGTACAATTTCATAGAGATCCATA